CAATATTTAACAGTACACGGCAATGTGCAATCTCATTTGCAATGATAAATACCCGGTCGTTTGAAGATGATTTTCAAAAGTTTGTAATACATTTTTCTTCAGATTGAAGGACGATCCGCATTTTTTTGCACTTAAACTGCTTTAGTGCGTATAATTATGTGTGTACTTTAATTAGAAATTTAAAAGAAGGCGAAAATCGAACAGGCATTTAGTACATGAGCACCCTTAACCTAGTATTTGCAGTATCTGCAGCTTCTCCGTTGCTAATTTGTTGATTCATTGTTATCAGCGTTATAAAATAAACTGCACCGAACACAATAATAACACACTCAATAATTGATAAATCAAAAGTCAGTTTAATAACGCAATGTGTATTTGAAAAGTTTATCAGATCTACAGATGCACCCGGACTAACAAAAAGTGCATATGTGCGTCCCAAGCCTCAGGCGCGAAGAGGCCGGAGTGGGAGCCGCCGTGACCGAGAAAAATCGGTTCACCCTCCCATAAAAAGTTATCACTTCAAAAGTCAATCATCTTCATTCATTCGCATAAACTCGTGTTCCAACTACAACCGCAAAACCCTGAAACAAGTCGCATAAACCCTCCGTTTGCGCACCTTCGTTCCACTAGATAGTTTCACGCTGTTTGGGTTCCTAATTATTACCTTGACTCACTAAGTGAATTTGCATACCCGCTTTAATCAAGGCCTGGTTCACATGGCTGCTACCTTTGCTCTCTGCGTATTTTTGCTTAATTGCTTCGCGACCTGCATATGAAGAACCTGATTATCGCCGTTTAAGCGCAAAGTATAAAACTTCGCAGTATTTCGCAGTCAATGCAGCTTTGAACGGGTTTTCCTAGTCAATCGTGCTAAAATGTACACAACAGTGCTGATGTTGCTGAATATAATGCCGCTGATCCTCACAAGTGAGAATTGCGATAAATACGGTATTCTGCTATACGAAGACATCGGGTGCAAGCCGGTGATGAACGCAACAGAAAGCTGCCCAAGCAGATACGATTGCAACTTTAGCAGTCCTAAAAGCGGCTGCACCTTCAAAGGTAAAAACTACAACCCAGGCGAAGATATCGAGTCCGAGTTGACCTACTCGGCATGCAGCATCGGGTGTAGATGTGAAGACTTCAACTTCATAAGATGCGCAGTGTTGGACTGTCCGGAACATCTGGGAGGCTACCCGGAACCCGACTGCTTCCCAAAGTACGAGTTGGGAAAATGTTGTGCAACCGAGCAAATATGCAACGCCACAGCCGAAGCCAAAACCTGCCAAGTCGATGGGGAAACATACAGCATTGGCGCCAAGTTTTATCCGAAAAACACATGCTTTAGCTGTATTTGCCATGCGAATTTTACCGGAGAATACGACGAGGAAACCTGCATGAGGCAAAATTGCGTAGCGGAAATCTACTCGAATGAACAAATCAATCAAAAGTGCGCGCCTGCCTATTTCAATTTCCATTCCGACGAAGTCTTGTGCTGTCCGAACGAATTTCTATGCCCAGAACCAACTGATGATATCAAAGTTGTAAACTTCCAAGCTGATGCAAATGCCACCTTCCAGTGCCAGTATGGAGCAGGCGAACTGAAAGTTGGAGAAGGTTTCCATAGGAGGATTAATAAGTATGGAAAGGACCGAAATTTGCTGTGTGAGTGCATCATGCCGCCTTTAGTAACATGTCGTGAAGTGTAAAATATTTTTTGCCTGTGTTCAAACATCACGGGACTCGGAACAAAAGGGAAGTGTTTTGCAGTTGAAACCAAAGGACTTAATAATTTGTGTATTTAACCAAATGTTTAGAAAAATATAAATCTATTTGAACTTTTAATCGGCGCATCATCTACGAGCGTTTTCGGCCTTTGGTCTTTGTAGTCCTCCTTTTTTGTTGTTTATGAGCAGCTGAGGGCGAGGTAACTTGGGCATCGGGGTTGACGTCGAACACTGAAGCTATAGCTTTTTCCAGTTCCTCTATGATAGGCTGAGAACACCAGAGATATAAAAAAATTACTGTTGTTTCACAAATTTGATCGTTGGCCCATTCAACTATCCTGAATGCTGCGCCTAAATTACCACTTGAATCGCCCTGTATTTTCGGGATTTTAGTCGTGGAAAAGTACGAAAAAGTTATGTTTTAATGAATGTTTTGTTAATTGAATCTCCTGTTTGGATGGTCGAAGATTGTTTGTATTGAGGATCAATCCGGTTGCATATTGTAAGCCTAAACCTATGATTTATCGGGTCATTAACGTTTTCTGCTTCTGTGAGTTTGTCGGTGATCATTTGATTAAAAATTTGTCAGCTTTTGCATTTGATACACCTGGGTAACAGGGGC